TTATTCATGTGTAAAATAATCAACAATCGGTGAAAAGCAAACAATTAAAGTTTAATAAATTAACGTGAATAAAATAAATATCAGTTTACTTAAATAAATTTATAAAATTAATTGGATTTATTATTTAATCGGCGAGTATGATGCTATTTATTATTATATACTAAATGAGTTTTTAAAGGTTAATTTACATGCAAATTTATATATAAATTCCTACTGATTTTGGTACACTTTTATATCTTTCGTTTTATTCGAGTTAATTTGATCAATATCTCATATTTAATGAATACCGCTAACATATTTAAAAAATGGCAGGCATGTTTATCATTATTTATCCTTCTCAATCCAATAGTTTAGTAAGTGGGTATAAAAATGACAATTGCAAATTTGCTATTATATGATTCTTTTCAATCGCATTTAGCATTTAAGTATAAACATTCGATTTCGCAAGCTCGAATTTAGCTGGTTTGCGTTTCAAACAAGCCCGAGCTAAGTTTGGACAAGTAGGATAATAACATCTTGTGTAAATTAAAGTGTAGCGAATTTATATTGATAGAAAACTAATTTATGAATGCATCTGATATGTGCAATATTTGTATTTTTAGAGGTCACTTTGGTAAATGACATATCGATATGCTTGTTCTTTTTTTGGCACTATTTTATTTGTTATCTGACTAATCTATCTGACCCGTACTCGCATAACCCGTCAAAATTTACTGACCCGTACGGGTCAACCCTACCCGAGTAACACCTCTTCAATCGGATACGTAAATCTACCAATCAACAGTTCAGAATATGTATTATACTAATAGCCATTTGATATGCAATCTACAACGAAACTCGACAAGTACAGTATTAGAATTGATTAAATTGATCGTGTGATGTTCATAAAGATATTTATAGAATTAAATGCTTGTGCATAATATTTCTATATTTCATAATACACCTAAAAAAAAACATAAAAAATATCTATTCAATCAGCTGCCGAAGCTAAACTTCAGTTTCGTCGGCACCTCCTTTTAATGAGTTTAGCAATTTAAACTTTTTGTGATAATTTATTATCCGTCAAATACGGAAAAGATTTACCCAAAACCCATCCGTTTTGGGACTTCTTTCTGAGAAGCTTTTAAATTTAAATGAGTAAAAAAAACGGAATAGTAGCATTCATTATAGTTTGGTTAAACGTTAAAAGATGGAATGTATTTATTACATTCGAAATCAAGGTATCTATTATTTGTTTTAAAAGCTTTTAGCATTAAAAATAAAATAGTAATTTTTGTTTAAATCGGATAGAATTTTACTGAGAATTCAATGTTTATTATGTAAAAGTAATGCTTGAGTGACCTATATTGATGGTAAATTTTTGAAGAAATATTTCGCTAATTTGTTCATCAAAATGGTAACTCACTTGGTTAATTTATTCATTTTTAGATTAATTAAAAATTCACCTCCTGATCTATTGAGATACCATTGAGTGAGGTGCTTGAGAACACTCAAAGAGTGGAGATTAATTCAGTGTATTATCTAGGAAAAGATCATTATAAAGAATATTATGGTTATCGAATTAATTCAAATATCGTTGTTCACAAACAAACTTAAGCTTATGCTAGAAAATATCAAACTTGTGGCACATGAATTATTCAATTGCACAAGTTACTATATATATAAAAAATATTAAAAATAATTTTAATAAATTATCTACTTTTGAATTTATAAGTATTTAAATCCTTTTATTCATTTTGTTTAACAATATGACAGAGATGAGTTAAGCACCTCTTCATATTGTTAATGAATACGGAATTTTTTTAATTAAGCTCGTGTTAAAATTGCTTGACATCTTTATTAGTAATCCCAGACATGTGATTTATGTGGTTTATAATTTACTTTCAACTTATTTTATTATCGATACAGTATTACCATTTTTTGAAACTAGTAAATGAAAATGTAATAAAGAAATATGTTTATTAGAACGAATTTGATTTCTTACTATTAGTAATTCATGTTAGAACACGATGAAATAGGGAGAAATGCAGTATTTGGGTATATATATATATATATGTTACGTATACGTCACTTTCAAATTTCCGTCAGTTATGTGGCAAAAAAGAGAGGCAAATTTATTTATTTATCAGTATTACTTTTTTTTTACTACATGCGATATTTATCATTATATCGATATTTATTTAATCATTAATCTTTACTACTTTAATAAGCATTTGATTAATATAAAACGCTAAGCTAATAAAGGAAAACAAACTTAATGACTTTTACATGTACTGTGGCGAGCACAACTATAGATGCTGGTGAAATTAATTTCACCAATTTCACCACATTTCACCATATTTCACCAGCATCTATAAGCACAACCACATCGGAAAGTACAAAAAGCACTGTTCTTACTTACGACAAGAACAGCATTTATTTTCGTACTTTGTTTTTATAACAATGGTAACCCTTATTTCTTGTATCTTTATCAGTTTCTTGACTAGACACCTTGCTTGTGACATTTTGAAGAAGTTTTTATTGGTTGAGCCCCAGCATTTCGTAAAGAGATGAATGAACTTGGCCACTAGAATTATGTCGAGATCTGGAAAGTCATCAATGGCTAACGGTTCTAACTCGTTGCTAGAACTGAACTGATAAACAATAACGATTTAAATATTTAATATATATACATTTTTTTATACTTATTTAATTATATATTTACTTCTAACCAAGTCTGTATCTTGATGAGCTTGACAAGTGGCGGCATAAAGGTCTTCAATATGACGAACTTGAGATGATTATCTGAATGAACGTTCAATTCTTCGATAACTCTAACTTAAACTTATTTAAAAAGATATTAAAAACTTTATATTTAAAGCTTGGATCTTTGTGTTTACTTGACGGGTTTTGTAAACCAAGTTGTAATTTGAATGATCCATTATAGGTCTTTCGATTTTTCGATTATTCGATTATTCATATAGTTGGCAATAATTTTTTTCAGAGGTTTGAAACTAATTAAGTATTCGAAGCCATGTTGTAAAGAAATTTTCTATATATTTATTAAACATACATTAAGATTTGGTGTACGTTATATTTTAATAAATTTTTAAACTCAAGTACGTACTGTACGTCAATTTAAGTGACGTCTAACGTATATAACAGTATATAGCATATATAGAATATAATAACCAAATTTTACCATGTATTTTGTTATTGCCGACGAATGAGTTGTCAAATAAGTGTTGTCAATTACTGCAATTGGTGAAATATACTTAACTTTAAATTCTTATTTTATGTGCCTGGTATCGGATTTCCTTATTAAGATTTATATTGCTAACACAAACAAAATAAAGATTGTGGAGACAATTACTTAAACAATTAATGATCAGTAGCATATATAATCCATATGACGAATAAATGAATAAAATAATAAAATGAACACCTAATGAGCTGATTTGCATCCCTTGTAATAAACCAATAAAATTACATCTACAACACGATTTATTTATTTAATGCTTAATTAAAATCCATAGTAATAATGATCTATAAACGAATATATTATTGACGATATTATATACTTTATATATTTTAAAATACGTATTTATGATTTTTAAGAGTTAAATTATGTAAGTTATGGTTAATCATATCTTAAGTTTAGATCACTATCAGATTTTAATTACTGTATAGATTGGTTAAAATTAATTCATCGCCAAGAAATTGATGCTGTTCGGAATTACAATATAAAAACACAATACAAATTTATAATTATGTAATTATTATATAGTTTAGATGAATAAAAAATTTTGAATTCATGTGATGCAATACTTTCGAATGCCGTTGTATATTATATTAATATTATACGTATTAATATTATATTGTATTAATATTGTATTAATATTATATTAATATTGTATTAATATTATATTAATATTATATTAATATTATATTAATATTGTATTAATATTATATTAATATTGTATTAATATTATATTAATATTGTATTAATATTATATTAATATTGTATTAATATTTACATTTAAATATTTCAGTCGTTCCTTGTAACGTTTATTAGGTTAATGTTTTTACTGGCTTGTTTATTAGAATGTTTTTACTGACTTGTTCATTATGCTTTACAGTAATCTTATTTCATTGTGCACTATATATTTCGAAATGAGTTGTCCAGCTAATGTATGTTTGGAAACTTAGAAGACTTGGTTTTGAATCAATTCTATTTCTAATTATTCTAATTATTCTAATTATTCTAATTATTCTAATTATTCTAATTATTCTAATTATTCTAATTATTCTAATTATCTAATTATTCTAATTATTCTAATTATTTAATTATTCTAATTATCTAATTATTCTAATTATCTAATTATTCTAATTATCTAATTATTCTAATTATCTAATTATTCTATTATTTAATTATTCTAATTATTCTAATTATTCGAATTATTCGAATGAAACATCATCAAATATTTATAACTTGCATCATCGCATAATAGATGAAAGATCGGATTGTCCTGATTTTCCCGCGAATATCCGATTCATATTAGCATAAGATCACGCATTTGATATCACGTTCTTCAGAAAAATGAACTTTACAAAATTGTATGTAATAGTATAATTCCAAAAATACTTAAATAGCTTATTTTTTTCGATTTGAAATAACATTATTTTCCCTAAATCATCGACATACGAAATTTTATTAGGCCATAAAATTAATTCATTGTTTCTCATAAATTTTAATGTGTCCCGACCGGCCTTTCATTTTTTTTCATCAATTCTCCCAAAGTATTCATAATAAATAACTTACATAAAGCCGTCCCGGCCGGGTTATGAGAAAGAGAAACAATCAATTAATTTTATATTGCCTTAACCTACAATTGACGTTTTAATATTTTTTTAATGAGATAACGGAATTAGTAATTTCTTCTAAAGTTTTACTATATAAAATTCTTAAAAAGAGTGAAGTCTAAACTTCAAATCTGGTTTATAATTTCAATTTATCAATCATGTTAAAAAAAAAAACTTCAAGATCTGGTTCTGTGATTAGCGATAGTAAGACATTTCTTTAATGTTACATTCTTAAGTTTTTTTCTGTTATATATTTTAACTTATTCTAATATAATTGTTCACTGAAGGCGGCAGAATTCCCGTAAATCTCGGTTTACCTGATAACATGGTATGAGTTTTCTTCAAATGCATTTCTGTGCTGATATTTCAATTATTGAATTATGCTCCATTGGAATATCTGTAAACCGCAATTTATACAACCAATTTATTTGTCTTTTTTCAGGGGGTCGACATGATGCTTAGACAAATAGGTTTAGAACATTCTTGGCCTGAAAGCCAAATTAACTCGGATATACTTGTTTTAACCAATAATCGAATTTTCACAATAAAGGACCTGCGTACATTATCATATGAGAGCTGGAAGGTTATTATTTATTCAATACTTTATTATTATTAATTATTATTATTATTATTATTATTATTATTATTATTATTAATTTTTCTTATATGTTTTGTTAACTTTTTTTTAATTAAATTTTAGGATATAGAATTACTACCGATTGTCAAAGATTTATGTCGTGAAGCTATTAATCGTGAATCTAATCAAAAAATTTTTCATGATTCAATAGATAATCAAAAACCTAAAAAAAAATTATCAAAAAAAGTTTCTCTTGATAATTTAATTTCAAAATTTCATCATCATCACCCAACAAATGAAATGAAATTATCAAAATCTTTTAATAAGTCATCTGTGAGTCCTATTATACCTTATAAAACTCCTCAAAATTTTAATAAGTCAACTTTGGAGGACCCTATACCTTATGAAGCTCCTCAGACTTTTAATAAACCTACTTTGGGTCCTATTCCTTATGAAGCTTCTCATAAGTCAACTTTGGGTCCTATTCCTTATGAAGCTTCTCAGACTTTTGATCAATCAACTTTGGATGATCCTATTCCTTATGAAGCTCCTCAAAGTAGTGCTGAAGTAAATACCCAGAAAATTATTTCTGATAGGTCTCCTCTAAAACCTATTCCTCCTACTTCTCAAGTTCAAAATGATCAATATTATATGCCTCCACCTAACAAAAAAATTACTGGTGATGGTAATAGGATGAAAGTTAAAACTTCTTCTGGTAAAATTTATGAGGTAGATAGATGGTGTCCACATGCTAAAACTGACCTTAGTGCTCGGGTAAGCATCACACTGAATTTAACTATAAATATAATAATTTTATGTTTTTCTCATTTTTTTTTCATATTTATTTTATTTATTTTATAGGGTGTAGTAATAGGATCAAAACTTTTTTGCGCTAAGCATAAATGGGCTTTTGATTTAGAAAATGGTGGAAAATGTATCTCTAACAATAATGACGCAACAATTAATGCTTGCGCGGTCTATGATTGGTAAAATCTGATTCCTGGTGAATCAATTTTTAATTAGATGTATTTATTGGTTAATCTTAATTTATATCCTATTTTTACTAAATAGATTAATTTACAACTCTCTTTTCTTTCTAAGTTTTGGCTTTTTTTATAAATTTAGCTACTTTAGTTTAGTTTAATTTATATTCGGTTTATAATTCAATTGGTTAACATTGAAATTATCAGTAAATATTAAAAAGGTTTGACTCGATTTTGAACGAAATGAGTAGCAACAAATGAAAAATCAAAATTGTTACCATTTCTAAAATATCAATCTTTTCACATTATTAAAAAAGTATTTTTATCTATATATTTGATATAATTTCTTTAAAGTGATCTGTTATCGTTATTATTATTGATGATATTATCATGTTTAGCAATTCATGTGATAATCGACCATTCAAATTATGAAATCTGATATCAAAACCGATACTATTACTATTACGTAAAACCCCATATTCGGGGTCGCTTAAAGCTAGGTACATCACGAAATTGCCCGATGATCGATGATCATCGGGCAATCACGGTATCAACATCAACGTTAATCTTTATTGGCGCAAATACAAAAAAATGTGCACAAAAAAAAAATTTATACGCGCGCTATATATACAGAGAGCGTATTATACGCGTAAATTTAAATCTATATACTGCGCGAACCCCACTGGTCGATAAATCAATTGTATAGCATAGTTTGTAATGCTGTAATAAAATTAATAATAATTACAATAAATAACTTATGATAGTAATAAAAAAACTGTACAAAATCAAATTTACTATTTTTCTTCACTTCGTTTTGTGTATTTTGGGCTCTTTTTCACGTACTCTGTTTCTTTGATGCTTTTTCGTTGAGTTTTTTTGATGCACTCTGTTTTTTGGTGCTTTTTAATCGTCTATTCAGATGTTTATCGGTACTTTACTGTAATGTTCGTACGATATTGATGTTAACGTTCGTACGAACATTGATGTAAACGTTCATATGGACGTTGATGTTAACAGTTAACATTCGCACGAAGTTTATTAATGTTCGTATGAACGTTGATGTTAACGTTCGTATGAACGTTGATGTTAACGTTCGTATGAACGTTGATGTTAACGTTCGTACGAACGTTGATGTTAACGTTCGTATGAACGTTGATGTTAAC